TGAGCTACACGGTCAGACGGATTTAAGACTGGAAATTATGAAATATATACTGAATGTCATAAACATACTCGTTTATATTAATTCAGCGTCGAACAATATTAGCTCTGCAAGTGTTATGTTGAGTTGTGTAATTGTACACTCCGTAATATGTTAAGATGAAAATATTCTCATGTGTGTATTATATAATTTCCATACCCAGCGTAAGCACAAAGATAAAGTCTGCCGCGGCTGGGTCTTGAACCCGCGACCTTCGAATTACTAGATCGACGTTCTACCAACTGAGCTACACGGTCAGACGGATTTTTTTTTTCCTCGTAACATATCACGTATTTGAGATCTAGGATACGATGACTTGGCATTTAAATACACATGGGCATCGGTGGGCTTACTATAAACAGATGTTACCAATTGGTTGTTGACTATAGTAATAAGCAAATCGAGAAAATGCAAGCTCCGCCCACCAATATCCATGGTAAATTGAAGATGTGAATCGAATGTGTTAAGAGCCTGGAAAAATGCATTAAGGTGTTCAACAGAACCACGCCAAAGTGCAATAGTATCGTCACGGAAGCGAAACCAGCACCTAAGTTCCGGATAAATAGTCCGTGATGCTAAAACTTTTTGATCTATGTTTTCAGCAACAATGTCAGCATATGAGCAAGAGTTTTTGGGACCCATAGCCGTACCATTTTCCTGCAACCAATACTGCCCACGAAAAGTGGAACAATTTCTCTTAAGACAAATTTCCAAGGCTTCCACAACACATACAACCGTCACGTCAAGTTTATCAGCATATATATTGAGTAAGTTTATATCTAACCCTTTCAACCCCCGACTGGTTATCTATGTAGACCGAAACATGTTAGTAATGTCGAAATTAACCAACACTTCACCATCTTCTACCCCTTCAAAATAAAGTTCATCAATGGTATTAATCATATGCCTAGTATCCTGCACACGATACGGAATGGTTTCCACTACAGTTTTACAATACTTTTCCACAAATAAAGATAAATGTTCTATGGGTGTACCACAACCAGACGTAATTACTCGTGCAGGTTTTCCGGGCTTACCGGGTATATATATATATATATATATATATATATATATATATATATATATATATATATATATATATATATATATATATATATATATATATATATATATATATATTTTAACTTAAAATTGAGTCACAACTCTGAGTTTCACGCTGAGTGCGATCATCAGGTGACGGTGTTACAAGTGACGGTTCAATCTTCCGTATGATGACGTTGGATTATATGCGTGATGGCGCAGCGCGCGCACGATCAAATTTTCCCGCGAGGAATCGCTTCCGGTGGCGGCACTTCGAGAAAAGTTCACACCTTTTGTTCAACAGTTTTGTCTTGTCACCTTTTAGGATATGTAATTTTTCCTGGAGACAAAGATCACAGTTTTTTGCGCCGCTGCGATAGGAAGGTGTTTGTTTTAGTATTGTCCATTTAATTCTGAATCTGCGTTTCTCTTTCTTTAATTGCCAAATGTATTTGGATAGCTCGGTGGAATTACGTTTGTCTGGGTTTTCAAACGTGGTTTTGTGATTGGCAAAGCGCTTCTTGAAGGTTGTCGAAGTCATGCCAATATATTCTTTGGTACTCTTCTTATCAACCTCGACTTCTGCTTTATATACGACGCTTTCTATCAGGCAATTCTTTTGGAGTGGACAATTGTCGGTGTTTCTGCAGTTACAGTTATCATTGCCGTTCGCTGTTGGTGCTGTAGCTGTCTTACTTTTGGACAGGATACCGATGTTATGTTTGGATATGACGCTTTTACAATTGTTCATACAGCTGTAGCTAACCTTCACCGAGTTCCTGTTAAATATTTTGTGTAGTGGATTTGATGGCTGAAAATGCTTGTCGACCAAACTTAAGAAATTTCTACCCACGTTGGTTCTTACGTTCGTACTATAAGGTGGATTAAACCAAATGATGTTACGTGATCGTGTCCTGGTCTTATTCGAATTTTGGGGGGAATATTTCAAATCCGTTTGGTAATTGCTACGGTGGAGGGCAGCTTCGTACAGAGGAGCGGTTTTTGAAAACGCTTCTTGGTTGGACGATAACTGTGAAATCCGCATGTTGACTGAAGTTGGAAGTTGCTTCGTGATTGCAGGAGGATGGTTTGAACGGCTGTCTATGAAAACTGGGTCGTTATTGGGTTTACGATAGGGTTGATAGCTTTCATCGCGTAGGTTAAAAGTGACATCAAGGAAGTTGACGGATTGGTGAGTAGGTGATTTTCAAATGGAATTTTTCAAACAGTTCGTGAAGATTTTTTTATGCTTTGTCAGCAAGTCGAGCGGATGTCCCATTTAAGAGAATAAGTCCGTCATCTCGATAAAGGCCAACGCGTTCTTTGCCATATTTCTTTGCCAGAGAGTTGATATATATATATATATATATATATATTTGTATATATATATATTTGTATATATATATATTTGTATATATTTAAAAAACTCATTAATAATTCAGGAGCAAAACACAAAGAAAAATCATAAGCGTGTCGTAGTTATATATGTGATATAAAATCATGTTAATTTAGATAAACTTTAGCTTTGATTCTCTCGGTTTAGACAAAGTTTATTTTAAAAATTACTTCGCCAATGAACTCGTATAAGCTGAGTCGTTTTTTAAGCCATTTAAAGCACTTGTAGTCGTGTTTTATCACATATAAAACACTCCGCTACGCGTCGTGTTTTATATGTGATAAAACACTCCTACGCGTGCTTTAAATAGTACATAATGTATATATATATGTATATATATATATACATATATGTATATATATATATATATATATGTATATATATATGTATATATATATATGTATATATATATATATGTATATATATATATATATATATATATATATATATAACAAAGTTTTGTTATTGCAGTAGATTAAAGAGTGCTCAATACAAAAATTTGTAGAGCAATATTTATTTAATCTTAAAAATGGTACATGTTGCTACTCAGAGTTTCATGCAATTTCGCAATCTTCAGGCAACTATTATTACAAGTAAGTTCAGTTTTGTTTGTTGACGCTACTCACTAACGGTTTGCTGACGCATGCGTTCGTTGGTCGCGCACGCTCTCAAATTTTCCCGCGTGGAATTTCTCTGCGTGGCGACACTTCGCGAATATTTCCGATCTTCTATTAAGGGTTCTATTTGCCTTTAAAAGGCACAGTTTTTCTTCGGTGCACAAACTGCAGTGTTTTTCACCTGCTGAATACGATGAAGCTCGTTTTACGATTGACCACTTGATTTCGTAATCTTTCCCAGCGTTCTTTAATTTCCACACATATTTAGAAAGTTCCGTGTCATATTCATATCTTTTGTGCTTAAACGATTTTATATGGTTTCGATATCTAACTTTGAACTCATTCGCCGTCATACCGATGTATTCCTTCGTGTCACAATCTTCCTTTGTTCTTATCACTGCATGGAAAATGTTAAAAGTTCCATTTCCAGACACAACAAGCGCATCTTGGCGAAAGCTGAGCCAATGGAAAACCCAAGCAAATTGTGTGATTGCCGAATCCCTAGTGAATGCCCACTCCAGAAAAAGTGTTTAACGAAAGGTATAGTCTACAAGGCAGTGTATATATATATATATATATATATATATACAGTCAATTCAAAAAAGGTTGACTTTCGAAGTTATGTATTTATGTATATTGAACATTGAGCGCGCAAAGAACTTTGGGAATTTTCATGTAAGTGAACGGCATAAAATTATTTTGTTGCAATACCGGCCCCATACAGCCAAGATCTACGCTGGAGACCAATTTTTTAGCCGAAATATTAGATCTTGAATTAGAACAAGTAAGTGTTTACCTGCAAATATCACAGTCAAAAAAACGTTATGTAAGAAAGTTCAGAAAAATAGGAAATATCAATACAGCTATCATCGGCCGGCCATACAATTGCATATCGATGCATCGATCTCACGAAGAGCTTGTGATCATGGAGATGGTGCAGCAATATCCTGAAAACCCCATTGCCGAAATACTGGACAAAGTCTACGAAGAAACAGGATCGCAATATGCGTGCTCGACTCTGCACTATTATTTGAAGAGGAATGGCATAACTCGAAAGAAGGTTGGTAAATATGCAAGGGGGCAAGGCATAATTCAATATTATTTTTAAAATGAATCCCACGAAAATACTTGCAAACTAACAGCATCGTACAATCCGACTTTTAATTACAGCTTACCAGAATTGCACAACAGAGATCTGAAGATGCAAGAGCAGAATTTCGTGCTTCAACATGTTTACTTCCCCCAGAAATATTCGTTTTCTTAGACGAAAGTGGCTTTGTAAGTTTAGCGACATTTGCATTTTTTATGGGCAATAATTTCAACATGCGGTTAACGGATATATTAATGCTGTCTTAGTATACAATTCATTTCCTTAATTATTCTTGAATATTTCCACAGGATAAGCGAATCATGCGAACATACGGCTACAATTTGTGTGGACAACCAGCAAAAATATATCGCCGGCATACACACTGGGGTCCGCGCATAACGGCAATTCCGGTGATATGTATGGAAGGCCTTCTAGATGTTGGTGTTTACCGAGGACACGTAGATAGCGAAACATTCCTTGCCTTTGTCAACAATATCCTTGCGCCATGCCGGCTGCCGTTTAATGGTTTTAATCCACGTTCCATTGTCATACTTGGTACTGTAAATCACGTTTTTGCTTATACTGAATACTGTGTAAAATTTAAATTTTTCAAAGGTAACTAACTTTTTGATTCATCCGGATAACGCTGCAATACATCACACATGCACAAGAAATTATTGATGCTATTAATGCCACTGGGGCATTGTTAATATTCTTGCCAGCTTATTCGCCGGATTTCATGCCTTGTGAAGAGCTATTTGCACATACCAAAAGCTACATTCGTCAAAACGACGTCGCATGGCAAAATTGCCCCGATCCAGAATTGATGGTAAAACGTTCTAATTCGAGATCTAATATTTCGGCTAAGAAAATTGCTCTCCAGCGTAGATCTTGGCTGTATGGGGCCGGCATTTCATTTACATGGAAAGTCCCACAGTTCTTTGCGCGCTCAATTTATTCAACATAACTTCGAAAGTCAACCTTTTTTGAATTGACTGTATATATGTATGTATATATATGTATGTATATATATGTATGTATATATATGTATATGTATATATATATATATATATATATATATATATATATATATATATATATATATATATATATATATATATATATATATATA